CTATTGTTGCACAAGCTCTTGGTTCAGAAATTATATCTATACAGTGATTTTGCCCTCGATGACGCATAAATAATTTAAACATGTAAAATGCCACTAACATCATCTTGTGTTAAAGCTTTCAAAGTGCTTACGGCTCTCTTTTGCAGCATCATTCCTCCAATATTTCATGAATATTCATAATCGCTTTTGCTTTTTGCAAGTAATATTCTACAATGAAAACCAGTATTGATGCACCGTTACCAACAGCAAAAATAATTAGTGCTCCGGATAAATCATGAATTGATATCTGATGCTTAGAGTCCGGAGTTTTTAAAGTTCCAACAAACTGAAGCCAAGATCGGTACATTTCATCTTCAAGTAGTTTTTGATAAATACCAGCATACTTAATTTTAACAATGACAGAATCGAGCTGTTTTTTGCAGCAGAACTTTTTACTCATACCCATCGCCATTCCAAAAGAAAAGGCCGTATCTTCGGAAATATACATTCTTGTGAATGGAGCTTTTCCAAATCTAAAATTGAGAAATGTTCTACTACCCAACTGTGCTGTTCGTCCATCAAAATGGTTTTCGGATTGCGATTCGGCGAATGTTAGGAACCAATCGTTCTTTATGATTGTGTTAGCCAAAAGTACAAGATCTTCTCGTTCGGTAGCAAGCAAACTTGGAATGGTAACAGTTCCTTTCAAATCAACTGCTCGATATTGGCCTTTAGAGGAAGCTACAGCCAAGTCGTGAAAATTTCTAATGGGATTTTCCCGTAAAGGCATGCTCAAAAAGGAGGAAAGCGCTCCAGAGTAACTCAACGACAAAACAAGCGAAGCAACCCACCAAGAGCCAAGGAGAAATCTATTGTAAAAATGGTCATCGATCAAAGGTTGATGTAGAATTGATCCGTAAAGATACAATAAACGTTCAAAGTACGATGGACCAGATGAAGAAAACCACCGAAATAATAAGGGAGCCACGAAAATGATGAGGGTTATACAACACCACGTGACAAGATCGAAAGGATAGAAAAACACATACTCTTTGGGTGTATATCCCGGCAAAGTAGTGACATAAGTTAACTCATTCACAGCGTATGGTTCACTAAAGTCAACAACTTCCAATCGTTCTTTTGTAGCTGTACTCCATAAAGTGAAGTCAGCCTCTCCTCTAAACACTTGGCCTATCATACCTGTCCAGTTACCGTCATCGGTCTTTCGTCCCCATTCATTATCAGGTGGTATATTAATGCTGTATTCAAAATTCAAAGCTTGGGCTAGAATATTTAAGAATTTTCCATCAGAACCTAATAGGTGAACGCGACCATCAGGACCTTCGTGTATTTCCATCACTCGTCGTAAAGGAACCATAGCTACAGTGATATTAGATGGAAATTTGGGAACCATTGCACCAAAATCACTTTTATATTTATTTGGCTACATTAGAGTATATGGCAATTCAGAGTTTGTGGTCGCTTCTTTTTTGAGAACAGAGGTAACGAAATGCGTGTTTAAAATCTTCATACAAAACAATAAAACAGATCTGTGTTGAATTATTAATTCACACACATTTCAAATTAGAGTTTTATTTTATGCCCACGTATCAATTATTGAATTCTAAAATACTTTTGCTACTTATTGGAAGATAATTTTGCGTGAGACACATTGCTGCAATAAGTAGTATTGAACTATACTTAAACCAGAAGAATCCATTGCGAGGATATTTTAATAGATATTTTCCATTTTAAGTAGAGTTAAAGCTGTGTAGTGTATAGAGAAAACATTAGCGTAATGGTGAATGAAGATAAAAGTGCATCTAAATCATAGATATAATCCTAACGCATAGCGATTCCAAATTAATAACAGTATTTTTAGTGTTCTGTCAACTAATGTAATATTTTAAATATTTAAACATATCTTTTTATTTTCAAAGCTTTTCTTTCATCGTTAAGTAACAGTTACCAATACTTTTTATTCTTCTTTTTTTAAGGTTATCTTCCACGTTTATTCCATGAGGAAATGGAAAACAATATTTAATTTTTGTTTCCCACTATTTTCAATGAGTCTGATTTTAATATAGAATGTTTGAAAACAATTCTTTTCGAAATCTAAAAAACATATGTTATGTTTCACAATGACCGCCTTTAATACATATTTTTAGAATCATGTCTACAGTAAAATAAAAGTAGAAACGCAACAGAAGTCTCAAAGAAACTGGTATATAAGGGGGAAAAAACAACAACAACTGAAATCTAACGAATCACTATTGAGAAAGGTGGGAAAACATTAAAACTTGTTTGATTGTTGATGGAAGTAGAGAGGAATTGAAAAGCTGTTGTTCGAAGCATCTAAACGTTCCATCAGGCTATTAACTGGTTTTGGAGTTTTTCAATCGATATTCCTTACTAGTAGATTTCGATAGCGCTTTTGTTCACTTCTTGCTTAAATATTTATTTTGAAAATCAATATCAAGTTCCCTGTATAATTTATACTTATGGGGAGAGAAAGTTTAAGCTACAAAATGTTTTCTTGAAAAATTTCGCAATAATGTTAAGAAATTTTATTGTTTGAATATTAGGGTTGAAATGTATAGTAATATTAAAATAACACTGACGGAATAAAATTAGAATGAGACAAGTTCCTTAAATTTCAGGAAGAAAAGTGATTCTATTAAACATAGTAAAATCAGAATAAACTAATGTGAAACAGCGTAAAACCGATGTTTCTTCTTATCAATAATTTAAAACAATAAATATAATTGTGCGATGTTTCTTTTTTAGCTTTGAAAAGAATAAAATTTTATTAAATATCATTATTGGAAAGCAAAATCTTGGAAATTTTCTAACAAAAATTGGCGGAATAAGGCGAAGTAAATTCTCAATAATAAGGTAGTTTATTTTTCAATACAGTAAAAGTCATATAGGATCTGACTAAAACCTATGCATGGTCTCCTGTAATGAATGCTCTTAATGTATATTTTTATAATCCTAATCGAAAATGAAATTCAAAAAAGATTGCTCATCCGAAGCTGTAAATTGGTATTTAGTTGTAGTTAATTTACGTCGCACTAGAGCTGCACAATTGGCTATTGGCGACGGTCTTGGAAGCATCCCTGAGGATGATCCGAGGACATGCCATCACAATTTTGATCCTCTGCAGAGGGGATGGCACCCCTGCTTTGATAGCCCGACGACCTATACGCGAAGTCGAGCACTTAACGGTAGAACATTTTAACGAGGACCAATACCGCACACCCTCGATCCCTACGCAGACTGATCCAAGTGGTCACCCACCCGCACACTGACCGAAGTCAGTGATGCTTGACTTCGTAAATTGGTATTTAAGCGAGACAAGAACGAAAATACTACCCAGACCTGTTTAATTGCCGGAAGAAGGCAAATCGATGATGAGGGAATATTGATGTTAATTGAAAAATCGATGTTTTCTATTCTTCTTAGAAGTGGTTTTGTAGATTTCGAAAGCGTTTTTCTTTTTTGCTCGCATTTATATTAATTTGCAATCCCTACTGCAGTGTTTCCCAAACTTATAACTTTTGTGTACTCTTTCTAAATTTTTCTTAACGCTGTGTACCACTACTGAAAAAATGAATGTATTTTTTGGTATAAAAAAATTGCCCAAAAGTTAAAAATCAAGACTGGCTGTTGACACCACTAATAATTAACTGTTAACTCTGCAAAAAATAGCCAATGGAAAAATACGTAATCTCAAAATTTTCATGGATAGCTTTGCTTTAAAATAAAAGTTTTTGAAATTTCCGTTTGTTATACGATATTTCACATAAGAACGCGTACCCCCTCTAAACTGTTCCCGTACCCCTAGGGGTACGCGTACCACACTTTGGGAAACACTGCCCTACTGTATATACTTTTTTGACGAAGATTTGAACATAATTAAACGAAGTTTCAGAATCTATTTTAAAGGTTCCCTACTTTTTCTACCTCAAAGAGCACATTCTAGAACACCATCCAGTCAGTGGGCACCATTTAATTTTTAAAGTTCAATTTGTAGATGAAATTAATATTTTTCTGTGGCACCTTTTAAAAACTAAAATATTTTTACCGTGTTTTAATACCGACAGGCATACTTAATACGATCAGCGGAAATCCACGGGTATGGGGTTGGGTACACCTGATTTGGCTTATTGACAAAGTTTTTGCCGCATGAACATTAAATTATCGTACGCTTTTTTGTACTTAATGTCCTAAAACAAGATCTCCCAAGGAGAGGAGAAGTCGGATAGATCTCATGACGGAAAAAAAAATTTCTGCAGCAAACAATAAGTAATCAATATTTAATGCAAAAAACCACGAAAAAGTACTTAAATTTGCAATAACTCCCGAACCTAGGTGTATTCTGAACAAATGGGAATTTCCAAAAAACTCTAGTCAAAATTATAATACAAAATGGACATATTAGCACATTAAATTTCAACTCTGCAGTTACGTTTCAACCGATAGTAGATCCACGAACATGTTTTTTTCTTTTCTTCAACTACAGGTCTAAAGTTATTAATTCTCAAACAGTAAAATTGTAATTATTTTTAATTTCATCGAACTCTTTTTGTACTTATCAACATATCTTCGTAATTTCAAGTTTCTAAATTGTACAGATTTTGAGCAACAAAGCCAAAATGTAACGTAAAGCAAAGAAAATGAGAAAAATTTGAAATACTTAAGATTGAAATAACTTTTAAATAAATTAGAGCTTTGTTTTTTTTTTAAAAAAAAAAAAAACTATGTATTAAGTTCATAAATAATAGTAATTTCAAGTTTTTAAGTCTTATAGTTTTCGGGCAGCAAACCAAAATGTTACGTTAAGTTGAACACCCAAAGTAGCGTCCCTGACGATTTTTTAAAATAGAGAGAAACTGAACTCCAGCATTCATGCGAATTTTGACAAAAAAGAGAATATAGTGATTTAAAGAAATAAAAAAAGAAAAACTGTTTTAAAGACTGTATAAAAAATATAATAAAGTATTTTTTTTCCTCAACAGATTGGCCTATTACTGACGTTATATTTAGCAGCAGCTTATGGACAGTGCTTCAGAGAAAATGACTACGCTCCATCTAAACATCAGTTATTTATGGGCATGGAAGATTTCTTTGATGCATCAACGCAATTTAGTATCCGATTACTGCACGCACTAAATACTACCGAAAATACGTTCATCAGCCCATTCAGTGTATGGTCATCATTAATCTTAATATATCTCGGTTCCAAGGGTGCAACCGAAAAAGAACTCGAAGGTGTTCTGTCATTACAGGGATTTGAGAAGAATGTTGTTGCTTACAGCTACCAATCTTTAAAACTGTGGTTCACATCGAAAATAAGAACACCTTCCTCTGCTTTATCTTCATTCACAATGGTCAACCATTTATTTTTACAAAAAGATATAAAAATGAGAAGTTGCCTGCTTCCTTTCATGGAGGATGATTTGGCTTACGTAGACTTTTACCAAAATCCTGAACTAGCTAGGAGAGCCATTAACTACTTCATACAAAGACAAACAAAGAATAAAATAAAAGAAATACTCCCTCCAAGCAGCATTAAGCATTACACAGACTTTGTAGTGACAAGTACTATGCATTTCAAAGGAGTATGGCTTCAGCCGTTCCTGCCACAATCAACCCAAAGAGGACCCTTTTTTACCACCAATTTAGATTATAAATTTGTGGATATGATGGTCACGCGGGACACCTTTCTTTATGCTGACAGTGAAGAATTGCAATGCAGTGCCATAGAAATGCCGTACGCAGGAAGGTCTTTAACGATGGTCCTTATGCTACCAAAGAATAAAGCCCACGGAGTTCAAATATTGTCAAGTTCGCTAACCATGAGCAGGCTGGGGAATCTTACAGAGGACATGTTTCCGAGAGAAATGGTGGTAGTTGTTCCCAAGTTTCAGTTTGAAGACAGCTTTCAATTGTCCTCCACATTGATTAAAATGGGGCTGAGGAGTCTCTCGTCTGGTGCGCTAGAACTAAGTGGTTTTAGCAAGGATAGAGTTCTAAGAGTGAATTCTATCTATCATAAAGCAAAAGTGTCTGTAGACGAACAGGGCACTGAAGCAGCAGCAGCGACTGCAACAGCATTCGCCAGAAGTTCTCGGCCCACAAGAATAATTGAATTCATAGTGGATAGGCCATTTGTGTTTTATATCCGTGAAAATCATTCTGGTAGCATTCTTTTTGTGGGCATTGTTCGGAATCCTAAATATTTACAGTCAAGAGATCACTAGAGATGTTAATAAATGCAAAAATGATCAATAATCAATCATGTCTCAGAAATATATCAGAATTATGAATTTAATATAACAGAAGGAAATAATTTTAAGTTATATAAAATATCAATAAAAGGGGAGAAAAAAAAACACATACACCCTAAGTAGCTTTGATTCTAATTATCAGATTCCCATGCACTAAAAGGTCTTCAGGGTTTATAGAGTCCATTTTAGACAGGCTAATTATTTTTTCAGCCTAAAATAATATGGAAAATAACCACAAATAATAAAATCAGATTCCAGTGATTAGTCAAAAGAGCTGTCTAAAGCATAGAACTTTTAATGTTATTTTTTTGCTATTTATATCTTTAAAATAAACTAATTGCATAAATTAAACAAGTTGAAAAGTCTAAAAAATTATTTTCCAGCATAAAAATAATTTTTTAAAATTTTACTTTTATTACAATTTAATACAATGTTAGTAAATTTCATATGAAATAAGAGGTTATTCTTAAATTATGCTTATCTTCTTTTTCAATATTTTTGACCCCTCCTCTCTTTTGGTACATCTCACTATATCCTTTACCCCACATCAAGTTATATTATATACTTGCAGTTTAGAAATAAAGATCTATGCTATAGCTCATGTTTTAATGATTTTTGTGCACATGACAATAATGATATGTGTACGCTTTTGTTAAAATATATGAAAAAATATAAAAATAAATTGTATAAAAATATTTAAAGTGTTTTTTTTCTTTTTGCAAAAATGGATGACATCATACTTGTTTCAATTTCATGAGCTTTCAACCTTCATAAGTTGTGGAGAACCTTAAGAAAAAATTTCCAATGGGGTACCCATTTGTTACTACTATGTTATAACATAAGCTTGATTTTCAAAATTAGTAGTCAATAGTAATGAAAGCTTTAATACCTTTTTTTTCATGAAGAATAGTAAATATTTTATAAATTTTTCAGTACTAGGTATATTTATTCTACTTTATAATTCTTTAACAGAAAATGTTATCTAGCAGCTGAATAAATTATTACTAATGATGATGACTTCTACTAATGTTTTGAAAGTATACCTCTGTAAGTACAATGGATATTATTTCGTAATCCGAAATTGTAAAAAATTAAATAAATAAAAGTACCTCAATTGGTTAATTGGCATATTGTGCATAATTACTTACATAACAAAATAAAAATTATTTACAGCACTTAAAATTTCCATTTTAACAGGGACTTTTATTATAAGGACACTTGCGATTATATCAAAATAAAACATGGTGAAAGCATCGCATTGAAAATATTACCAAGAATAAAAATTCCCCTACTGCTTTTCTTTTCCTGTTCATAAATATATTGATTTTTCAATATTTATATGCACAGTGGCATGTATACTGCATGGAAAAAAAAGGACATCCTTAATAACTTTTGATCTAGCGATAGGATTTTCTTGTTCTAGGACTTAAACTGAATGGTCTGAGGGGATGACCTTAAGTATGTTAATGAATTAGTGCAGACGATATTTTAAGTTGAGAAATCAGACACAGAAATGTACTTTCTCAGAATAAACATAAATTTTTTCTCAACAGATTCGGATTTCTGACCACCAAAATATAGGGAGTATTTGAGAAATATTGTCCCCATAGTTTGGTCAGGAGAGCGATCCAAAATTTGGACCCTACAATTTTAATTATACTTTTTGCGTATTTCGCCACATCTCAAGAACTTTTTTAAAGAATTGAAAATTTCTTGCACAAAATTATAAAATTCATTTATCGAAAGATGATTCCATGCAAAAAATAAATTTTAGTAAGTATTTATTAAAATAAGTCATAAAATTTTTGAATTGTAAGGTATAAAAGCTTTTACATCATTTTAAAATATCTAATTTTGCATGGCAATATACAAAATTTGAGCGAAATCAGTTGAATAGTCAACAGTTCCTGAGAAATCGAATTTGGAAATGGTCGTATATTTGATCGCTCCAATTTTGCCATGTAAAATTATATACTTTAAATATGATGTAAAAAATTGCATGCTTTACAATTCAAAATATTTTTGACTATCATTAAATAAAACAATAAATATTTATTAAAACTTATTTTATGCATGTAATCATCTTTCTATAAACGAATTTTTTAATTTTGTGCAAAAATGTTTCAATTTGTTTAAAAAGTTCTTAAGGTGTGGCGAAATATGCAAAAATTAAAACTACGGGGTCTAAACTTTGTATCACTTTCCTGAACAAACAAAGGGGACCATACTTCCCAGATTCTGGTTGCTTCCTATACTTTGGGGGTAAGAAATCTGAACCCGTTGAAAAAAAAAAGGCATGTTTATTACCTCCTTTACAATCGGTTAATTTTCAAGAAAACGGTCATATAAGTGCCTATTTTTTTATCCCTGAAATATATATAAAAATATGTGTATGAGCAAAATATATATTCAGTTTTAATTCGTTTTCAGTTTGAAATTTTTAGGAAAAGCCAACATTCTATGACTTAATGTTGGTTTTCCAGCAAGCAAGGAATTTTTAAAAAATATGAGTTTCAAACATTAAAAAAGAATTTTATTAAACTTACATATAATATGAATTAAGATTAGTAAATTTTTCTTGTGTGATAAATTTCAAAGCATGAGATACAGAGGTGAATGTCACAATCTGGACAGTAGTACCGAGTTTCCTTCCTACATCTCTTATCGTTTTCATCTTTCATTTCTTCTCTACTACCTACAATTACCTTAAAAATATTCTGGTACTGCCACCTGGTGTGTGAAATGAGAAATAAAATGTTTTTCGAGCAAAAGAAATGAACAATTTTTATTCTTATTGGCGCGCTGCCACTGAACACTCCAGCCCGGGAATATCATGGGAGCGAGAAATAGAAGGTGAAACTTCACCCCATCATTTTCACGGGAGCGAGAAGGAAGGAGTTCAGAAAAAGTACATTTTTATGTCAGATTTCATAACTTAAAATATCGTCTACACTAATTAATTAGCATATTTGAGGTCACCTCCTTGAAGCATTAAATGTGAGACCTAGAATGTGAAAATCCGATCATTAAATCAAAAGTTATTCAGGGTGATCATTTTTTTTTTGGTGCACTGTACAATTACGCAGTTGGTTTGTTATAATGTGTTCTATCATATCAGTGCGGAAATGACAATCACACTAAAAATATTTTCAGCCCAGAGTAATAATAAATAAATAGTGAATCTTTATCTTACAAACTGTTAATGAACAGATTTAATATTACTTGCAAAACATTTTAACCACTTGACTGACTCCATTTAAATATTGAAATTAGGCATTTAAAATTTTTTTATTTTACAATTCAAAATTTTTCTAACTATTATTTAGTTAAATTATAACATATTTCTCTTACAAATAAATTACCTTTGAATGAATGAGTCATATAAATGAGTACAAAATTTTAACATATCCATTTAAGTTAAGTATAAATTTTTTATTATTTTTTTGCAACTTAAAAATCTTATCAATTAATCAAAAGTTATTATAGTGTTTTTTTGTTGTTACATTTTATACAGAATAATCTGTCACATTATATATCGGATTTGTTATATTATATATAGCACTGATACAGCAATGGATTCATAGAAATTGTTTATGCTATTATCTTGCTATGGAAAAAAAAAGTTTAATGAACTCTTAGAAAAATACTTAGTGAGGAATTTTATTTACAGGGGTCCGTCTAGGTTTTTCTGAAAGGTACCTATTTTGTGAAAATTTTGACATAATTTGTGAAAAATTAAAAATTATATTAAAAAATCAACACAAAAACATGGTAAAAATTAGATCTATTGATTCTTAGGCGATACAAAAAATTATTTACGAAAAAGTATTTTGTGAAACTACCGTTTTTTTTTAAGTTGAATTTGTGAAACTACCATTTTGCCTAAAATTGAATTTGTGAAGGTACCGCTAAACGGTAATAAATTCGGCCTGGACAGCCCCTGATTTATTTACTTTAGGAGGGCAAAAAGAGCAACAGAAGGAGGTGCTGTATTTATTACGTAAACAATTTATAGATTGACTTCATTTGACATTGATAAGGGGTAGCTGAAAAAAGCTTAATGTTTCAAATAAATGGATTAAAATATTTCCATAACTATGAGTCAAGCAATTAAACTACACTTTGTACACAATAATTTTATCTACAAACTTGTACAAGAATATAAATTTGCATTCAATATACAATAAAAAGTATAATCATAGCTAAAAATTAATAAAAAAAAATCAACATATATATTTCCAAAATGACAATTTAAAGTAGCAACCAGGAGCAGCGCAGAACACTTATTCTGATTTGACAATCTTGTGCACCTTTTTCCTAGACGCCCGCAAGAAATTTTTCTTCATTTCTGAAAAACGACTGGATTCCTTGGCTTCTAAATCTAAAGCATCAAATGATTTAGATTTTGGTATGGATTCAGTTGATTTTGATGCAGGCAACGCCTATGCAGGGAAAAGTAATCAATGAGTAAAAAAAGCTATAAAAAATATCCTTTCTATGAATCAGTTCATATTTTCATGACTTCTAATAAATCGTAATGGAAAATGCAAATGTAATTTTTTATGAACGTTTTAAAATCATTACCGGGTGAAAAAAACAACAAAAACATTAACTTTTTGAACCCCATTAACGTTTCAGTTAAGCAAGAAAACTATAAAAATTGAATACTGAAAACATAAATGTAGATAATATTTTTAGCTGCTAAAATTAAGCAATATTTCTAAGTTATTTGGTAGTGTTGTGACATGTTGCTAATTAGAAAAAATAAATCTAACCAGTATTTAATTTTAGTCAGATTTCCTGTAATATATGCATCATAATTATTACTCTTATGAAGTGATAAATCCTTATCATGTAGTTACATAAATCAGGCTTAGATTTTCTTTTTTTCTCCCCATCATATTGTTTTCAATTCACTATAGATTTTAATTGACATAAGTTGTTAGTTACTAAGTATAATTATGTATTTGTATATTCAGATCTGTCAACTTCAGAAATTTAAAAAGCAGGAGACTTTCTGTGATAATGCAATAAGCAAAACAATAAATATATGTATAAAAAAAAGGAAATTGATGCATTTTTTAAATTAAAGTTATATAAATAGCTTTAATAATACATGAAACTTAAAAATTTCAAAACGATTTATCTATTTCTTAAAATCATGATATAAGACTTTTTCTGAACCTTTTTCAGGTTTGTCTTCCCAGTCAACAAATTTTCCAAAGCTCATTTCAGCTAAAAATAAAATAAGACAAACAGAATGAAGTCTGGATTTTTTTTTTGTTTTTTTTTTTGCGTGGCTAAATATTCCCACTACTGACTTTATGCTATTTTCCATCGTTATGTTATTTTCCATCAGAATGAAAAACTTCTATTCTGAAATGTTTTCACACTCTAAAGCACAAAACAGAACAAACTACATAGTTTTGTCATCTTTTCCTAAAATCTTTACAAGAACAGAAATACTTTGTGTTCAAAAGAGAAACAATTTAAATATTACTTAATTTAGCAATTTTACCATGAATTTAAATATCACACTTAGAACTACTAAATGCTGATCTGAAGGAAAGTTTTGAGGGCTGCTGCAAATTATGCACAGATTTTTTGATTAATAATGCTACTTAGAAAACGCATAGGCTGTCTGAGGCCCTGAGACTGGGCACAAAAGCGAGAGAGCTGGCAGGAGTACAATGAAATTTTCATGATATATATGCAGTAACCAAAAAATTGTCCAAAATTGGGACCAAAAAATTGTCCGTTTATGAGAGTTGTCCGCTTACGGGAAGGGTACCCTAATAACGAAGTTTAACACTGTTAATTGCTTTTAGAATATTTCCAAAGATGTTCAAGTAATTAAATAATTTACAATAACTATCTACAAGGGCATTTATTTAAACTTTAAGAAAGATAAAAAAGAATATATAAAGAAGTTTAATATAAATACATAATTCTGGATGCAGCTACAGATAAATAAATATAATTTTCCTATTAGCATGGATACTCAAGTCAGACATATGATACAGAATAGGAGCTTTCAGTCCTCAGTCGGTTTCAATTATTAGGTTAAGATAAGGAACATGGTTAATACCTTCTTGAAAGTAAACCTCACAGGATTCATAGTCAAGTCATTAGGGCCTATGGAGTTACTTATTCACAATTGATCAGCTATCAAGTGACTGAATTAGTGTTTCATTTATATGAATACATCAGAGATTATATTTCTGCTCTCTTTTTTACCCCAGCTGTGATAAATACAGCCTTCAAATTGATAAGGAAATTAAAGAAATTTTCAATGGGGAGAAAGCATTGAGAGCATTTAAGATGTCATTTCAACTTAAGGAGTCTCATTACCTGTGAGGTCCAGATGAAAAGATGCCGCTGTCCGAATTATTTCAGGAGAGCAGTGCCATTTTCTCTCCTTTCTTTATAACCATAAGGCAAGGTGACAGGAAAAAGATTGATTCTTCAATAGTGAAACAATATTTTTAGTTATGGATAAGGCAAAAAATTATCATGGATTAAAGAAGGCGAAAAGTTGCATCTTTCCCCCTTGCAATTTGAAGCAGAAATAGTTTTTTTTTTTTTTAAAATTTAGAATAAGTAGTGTTCGGTTTGAAGAGATAGAAAATAACATTTCAGGGCCAAAATGACTGCCCGCATCCGGTTACGGGAGTGTCCACTTTACGGAGAACGTACACAACGGTTTATTCATAGAAGATTCCAGGGGAATTAAAAATGTGTCCGTAATGAGAGGCGTTCGTTTTGCAGGAGTGTCCATAACAGGAGGTTTCACTGTATATATATATATATATATGTTAAATACAATCATATTTTGGATAGAATACAAAAATATAAATGTTTAATTAACCAAACAAATAATAACTTAAATACTCAAATAACAACATTTTTAAATACACAAGTGGGCGACCTTTGTGCTAAAATACAAACTAAGGTAGACAACGTTAAAGAGCACAAAAATATTATTAAAAGCAGACAGCTGTTTTGGATGCTCCAAGGACAACCTTCATCAGTGCAACTGTTGCACTGATGAAGGTTGCCCTTGGAGTATCCGAAACAGCTGTCTGCTTTTAATAATATTTTTGTGCTCTTTAACGTTGTCTACCTTAGTTTGAACAACATTTTTAGACATTATTACGTAGAAATGTTAACTAAAATACAAGGTGCTGGGAAAAAAAAAAGAATGATTTTTTATATAAATTTATTAAAAATAAATAAATGTAACAAAATATAACAAATAATAATAAGAATAGACTTTTACTAATAAATAAATTTAATTGGCTTCAAAGTGGCTGCCTTTTGCAACTATGTAGAAGCATAAATGATTATTGAAATTTTCAGCAATGGGCTGCAAATGTTTTATAATTTATCCCATTGCTGTTGAAGTGATTGCTCACAGAGCAAATGAAAGATTTCAGAATGACATTTTTTTGCTTAAACAACTCTAAAATAGCAGATCTTTTGCTGGACATAGTAAAAAAGCCAAAGAACAATACATAAACTAAGAGATACATTATAAAATATTTTATATCTCAAGTGGTAGAAAAAAAAGAAGAAATAAATATATGAATAAAAAAGAAATATTCTGTTCTCTGATGTAATAAACCTCATCTGAGTTCATGTTACCGCACCCTGTAGGTTACATTTAACATTTATTGGTTAATATCAGGAGCAAAAGCGATCAAATTATGAAGTAAATGGGCAATTATTTATTCTATTATAACAATTTTGTAAAATAATGAAAAATAGATATAAAATAGTAATGGTGCAATCTTAGTTGAAACATAAAAGGCAGCAATTAAAAAAANAAAAAAAAAAAAAAAAAAAAAAAAAAAAAAAAAAAAAAAAAAGCAAGGAATTAAATAGTAAACAAGACAATTTATAGATTAAGAAGCAAATTGAAATTTAATGATTTTTTTTTAAAAAATGAAAAGTTACCATATCATATGCTGAATGACGAAGGTCTAAATCTTCTTTCTTTTTATGCGAATTCTTCAGAATGTGCCTCTGTAAATAAAATGTTTTCAATATAAAGCAATGGAAATATATTTAATCCAAAAATGAAAGAATAAAATGAACAGCAATAAGTTTCATTATATTTCATTGAAACAATTATCCACTGAAATGTTTGTGCTCTAAAAAAAGGCAGCCCAACTTTTAATTATACAGGCTTGTGATCCACAGACTACCTTAAAGATTATATTCTTACACTAAATAATTAAACATTGCATTGCAAAGTGATGCTTTTATGCACCCGTTACTATTTTTCCTTAAAATAGCGCAAGGTGAACTTTCAGAACTTGAATTATTTGTAAGTAAGGAGGATATTGTTATCTTAATAATTTCAGAAAAAAGTTTGTTGCTAAAAGCTAGAAATTTTATAACATTTTAAGAGCATGTAATTTTTTTTAATAAAAAAAGCACAGGTATTAACTCTAAAATATTGTAAGTTTTTTAAACCAAGAAATATGAAAAATCATTTTAACAGATTTTCTTTTGCTAATTCATGCCGAGTAGGATTGAAATTAGTAATAATGAATTTAAAGTGAAATATACTTTACATATAAAAAGAAATTTTCAATGCAATTTAATTTGCAAATCTGGATACATTTCTTTTTACATTTAAAGACATTTTATGAATCGAGAAATAATTAAATATGATGAAGCTTTCTTTGCAGTTTATTCAAAAAGATAAGGAAATAATGAAGTATTGGATAAAAATGTGTGATGAGATTTATATTGGCGAGGTTCATAAATATTTGAAAATATAACAGAAAAGTAAACAGATCCTCACCTTTATTGCAGCGCCAACAGATCGACTTCTGAAATGCTTCTTTTGTGGTTCACGACTCATTTCCATATAATTATCTCTCTGAAGCTGCAAAATATTATTTGTTTTATAGGTATAATAGAATGAGAATCAAAAGAAAAGGTTACAAATAAAAACAATGTCTAAATTATGAACATGAATAAGCATAAGGAAAATAAAAAACAAAATATCATAAATTTATCAGCAAAGTAATCCAGTTTTTAAAATATTTTATTTTTATAATTTGGAAAAAAATCCAGTTTAAATATATATACAGTAGAGAACCGATTATCCGGAACGATCGGGACCAGCACGATTCCGGATAACCGATTTTTCCGGTTTTCTGAATCGCTACAAAATGCCGTTTTTTTAATGTTCATAAAACGAAACTAAAAAATTATTTTGAAATAGTTTTAGAAATAATAAAAAATTATAAATAATAATACACTTAAGTTTAAATAAGGGAAGAAATTATGAAATAAAAATTATATACAGGCTTATACATGTTATTATTAACATACATAAGCTATTTGTGCTTATGTGAGATTCGTCTACAAATGGCTTTTGATCCGTCCTCTAAATCAGTTCTTTCGTCAACTCGATACGCTGTACGCTCTAAATAGCAAAATGGGCTCAAAATCTTGCAGGAAAAAAATGTTTTTTTAATGGAAGAAAATTAATTTCCGGTTCCGAATTTCATTCCGGTTATCTGGTTTTCCGATTTCCGGATAAGAGGTTCTGCACTGTACTATATATATATATATTAAAAAAAAAGAAGTCTTAACTGGTTATGTAACAGAAATATCAGCAATATGAAAAAATATAATTCCATAGTAATTTTAAAATTGCAATGTGGTAGTATTTTGAGCATCAGAACAAAATATTAGCTTTTGAACGCCTCGATTATTAGTAGCATAATACATTGTTAGTAACTCAAATATATTTCCAGTTATTTTTATAATGGTATTTTAAAGATTGAAACAATATTCATGTACATTAAAATTAGATTAATGATACAAAATTAAAATGTAATAATTAGAAACATTTTTTTCTTAAATGCAACTTAAATATAAATGCATAGAAAATAGTGCAATATAGCATATAAAATATGTTTAAAAGCTTTGATTGAAAAGCATGGATATGTTGTTTACATAATAACATAACTTAATTAAAACAAGTGAGATTTTAGCACAGATTTAAAATTAGCTCAAGAATGCAGTAAGTAACTATGGGATACTGGAAATAATCTTAACTTTTAGAAGAATATTTTTATGCAGCTTAATTCACACAATAGCCATAACTAAATTGCAATTGTATATTATCACTCTTAGACAAAAACAAAAATCTTAAAAATTTAATCAAATCAGAAAACTATTTACTTAAAAATTATGAGAAAGGAATTTCTTTGGAAGGAAGATAAACTTAATTATTAAGTATATAAATGAAAAACAATGCAGCAAGTACAGAACTTATTCAGGATGGCCAAAATTTCTTTTCCATAGCATATACTTAAAAACTGATATTCCTATATAAATATTTGATTATAATGTTGAAAGTGTTTTAAACTATATAAAAAATGATTGAGAGACCAGAGAAATTACGCATTACTTTGAGGTGCATAATCATCACTCAACCAAGACCAACACCTAGTCCCATTCCCAGGGTACTTATCTTTCAATAGTTACGGTATGAATGCCACATAATTTTGACCTCAGTCAGACAATATGGACATCGCCTGAGCTGCTACCTCTATCTCCAAACTTCCACACCACAACCAACTAGAAGACTTTCAGAAATTACATATTTAACAGGCGATTTGCTTTTATACAATGCCGGTTAGTATTGTCAGCTGCCAGGATCGAACTCTGAACCCTCAGCTCTCCAATCATTGGTGCGAGAGACGCCTTAACTGAATGTGCTACTGGAGCGTTACATTGAGGTGAATGAAAAGTAATTTAATTCAAGAAGATCTTCAACAGATCTTGAGAAAAAATATTAAAGAAGCTAACTACAAAATTTTAATGTGTATCTTTTAGTGTATTTTGGATATGTAAGTTGAAATGTATTTATAAATAATATTTAATCAGCAACAAATAATCTAATAGTCAAGATTAAAACAAAATCTATTTCAATAAAGTAGGGATCACCTAATCACCAAAAATTTAATTCAGGGCGATTCAAATAAAAGAAAGCATTAAAAAATTTCACTGCATTTAATTAATGGCCATCATGATCTAAATTTTATATAGATACTAAGTACAGTGGATTAGTAGCTGATACTGATATCTACTTTTTTAATAACAAGCTTCTTTACCTGGTAAAATTGGGTAAGTCTTCAATGTAGATCTGAATAAAATGTATTTATGAATTAGAATATTGAGTTAAGATATATTTATAAATCATATTATTTAACTAGCAACAAATAATCTAATAATCAAGATTAAAATAAAATCTATTTTAATAAAGTCCTAGATCACTTAGCCCACCAAAAAAACTTAATTCAGGGCAATTCAAATAAAGAATTGAAAAATTTCATTGCATTTAGTTTTACACATAACAATTGCAATTAACTCATGGCCATCATGCATTAAATTTTACATAGATATCAAGCATAATGGCTGCTATTGATATCTACTTTTTTAATAAGTTTCCTTTTCCTGGTAGAATTGGGTAAGTTTTCAATGTAGGACTGAAGTTCAGACAATGCTTTATTTGTGTAATCAGAAGACTCCTCCTCAGCAGAGTTGGGTCTCTCACAAAATGCAATCACTGTCTTCACAGCTGTTGTCTAAAAGAAATAAAAGCATGAAATCTTTTCCCTTATCAAACTTTTCTTTCACCTTTATTTACATATGCAAGTTTGATGGTAAAAGTTTATGGTCAACATTCTAAGTCAGATTTTAGTTTTCATAAAATTTTGTCGCACAAGAAATAATTAATACATATAAATATTTATTCTGTCAGTGTAATTATGAAAATAAAACGTAGAAAGTTTCAGTTGGCTCTTTTCATTAACTTAATTTTTTTATGAAAATAGAAAGGGGAGCCTAAAATAATTGCCTACATTTACAGAAAGCAAATTTATCAATTTATTTATACAAGGCTGGCATAACCTGATTGCTAGGGCACTGGGCTCATGACCAAGCGTTTGTGGGTTCGATCCCAGCCGACTGAAGACTCCCCGTGTAGTAAATGGTGACTGATGCATGTTAAATCCGTCAAATCGCAAAGTCCTCCATGTTCGCATAAACAAATCAATACCTCTGGGGGTACTGATCCAGGAGTTCCTTTATCTTCTGGATTGGTTCAAAATTACAAGGCTACGGAGCTGAACATTAGTAGTCGTAAACCCAAAATTGGGTCGGCTGTTCAACGACGGATATAAAATTTATTTATACAGGAGTCACAGTGGTTCAAGTGAGAGAGCGCTTCCCTCCCAGTGATATGACCCAGGTTCAAATCCCAGCGTGGCCTGGTTGATACGAATTCTGTTCCTTGCTTATACTGACTACAGTGTTGATGTAAATCCTCAGTGGCTGATGGATCATGGGTTTTGATATCTTTGCCGTCAGTCAAAGCGTGCTAGGTTTTGCCTGTCTATCTTCTCTAATACACAAATGCAAGATAGTTCCACCAAAAAGTCCTCCACAAAGACTAGTTTGCTCGGTCTGATCCAGGCATTACCATGGCTTCTGGGTTGGTTCAAAATTGGAAGACTACAGAGTTGAACATTGAAAGTCGTAAACTCAGAATCGGGTCAGTTGTATAACGCTGGTAAAAAATTAAATATATTTATACAGGGTTCAGTTATTTTGAACTGTAATCATAAACTAAAATTGACGAAGTTTCTTTGAATTGTACTGTTGTTGAAATACAACATTGCACCAAACAAACTACTAAAAGTTTCTTTGGTCCAAACTTTATAAAGTTGTAATGTCTAAAACAAAACGTCAATGTTTTTTCTAAAATTGTTTAAATCTCGTCAGACATTTTAACTGGAATTATTTGACAATATATAAGGTCTGAAAAACCTAAGAACAGTTAAAATATTTACACAAAGAAATGTTTCACGTTTTAATTATGTGATCGCTCAAAGTCATAAAATCAAATTGATTATTAATTTTTTTTAACCACTTTAACAACATTATATGACACATCTGCATTGTATATAAATCTGGATAATTAAATAAACAAGCTATCAGAGAGTTTCAATACTTTAAATTGAGTTCAAGGTTGATGAACATTTAAATTTTCCATAATGGTGTCCAAAATATATAATATGAGACTTCAAAATTTTGCATCGATAAGAAGGAATTAATTACATCAATAATAACGATTATTTGAAAAACATAATTTCATTTTTGAATTATCAAGGATTGCAAAGAATAAAAAAAAAATTGAGAAGTATTCATTTATTTCACATCAAAAGATGCACAGATGGGTGAAAAATTAGTAGTTAATGTTTGCTTTGATAGTGCTTGTATCACTCTTTTGTTGGTAAATATGAGAGCAAATTAAAAGGGAAATAATAATAGTTTTATTTCGAAACTGTTTTTATTTTGTGAGTGACAGCATTACTAAAAGGTAATTTTAAATGATAGATTTCCTTGCAAGTTGCAACATGAAGATGTGATAACTAGAACTTTGAAATCGTTTACCACCACAAATTGCAAAACAGCAATAAAAGTATCTGAAAACATTTACTGGGAAGAAGCAGAATAATATAAATTATTTTGAAAGCTTTGGATTTTATACCAAAATTAACACCTTGCTGAATTAAAATAAATAAATTGAAATTTTTATTATTTGTAATCTCTTTCCTTAAAATATAAAATCTTTAAAATTTATAAGTGATACTTATAAATAATTCAGATAAAAAAACCTCTTTCTCAGCAAACTGTAATTGTCCTTCATAAGACATTTCCTGAAGATACAGATTAACATCCTGCACAAGTTCAACAGGTGGGCTGAAAACAGTAGTTGCATTTTCTATCAGAAAAGTAATACATTTCACCATGCGCCGGAAATTTTTCTTTAATTCTTCAGCAGGCATCTGTAATTATGAACATTTTTGTTTAAATCCAATAAAGTTGTTCATTGATATAAGATACAGTTTTTATTACTTTAGATGATAGTGCAGTATCTTCAGAATTACATCAAACTCAAATAAAATAAATTCTAATTCTAATTCAAATTCTAATGAAAATTAAAAAAAGCATTAAAGAAATATCAAGAATTTACTAACTAAATTTCTTGATACAGTGAAGGAAAATGACCACATTTTTATGAAACACGCATAATTGGGGGAAAATATTAACAATTCTTACATGCTAGCAAACTTTTATGTAGTTGTTAATTTAGTTGCACAATGAAGGGAAAAACTGGTTTAGCCTAGTCAACAGCTAAAAATATCAAAAAACAATTCCTCAAATAATTGACTTATAAATCTTTTCTATTATATTAAATAATTATTGTTAATTCTTTATTGTAGCATCAGTCCCCAATTATAGAGCAATGTAAAAAAATCAGAGTTACAAACAAGTATTTTATTTAACTGTAGGGTAATTTTACAGAATACATCAGTCATTAAAATTTCAGAAATACATATATTTGTGAAAGAGCAGCAGGTTCACTTACTCTAATTTATAATCTTAGGGTTTTTAATGCAAGAATTTAATTTACAGGGGAGGAGGAAAGCAGAACAAATTGTTTTGCATCATATTATTTGTTACAATGTTGTTATAAATTTTTTGAAAACATAATAATGGTTACCTTTTTAGGACAAATGATATGAGGTGCAAATAAAGTTGCTAAGTTTTGAGACGTCATTTTGTTCTTTTCTTGGGCGTTGTGAATTTGATTTAGCAACAAAAGTAAGTATTTTAAAAGGCAGTAGTTATCAGGAGGTAAAAGCAATAAAAGTAACTGAGTTGACTTCAACTGTTTTTCAAGTATATATTTCTTTTGACTAGAGGACAACTCATCTTGGCACATATCTAGAAAAGAAAATAGTTGTAATTAAAACACACAACCTTAATTTAACAAAAGCCATTTCTGAAGTAAAAAACAGATGGTAAAAACCCTGGCAGAATTCATATCAATGCTACATTTAATTTTTACAACACTATGATTACTCAACTCCTAGCATGTTGTTTCTCACAATAATAATGGCCACTAAATTTTCACAAGTTGAACAAATGGAATTTATTTAGATAGCAGCAATAATTTATTTTTAATTCACCTTTTTTAAGATTATCAATATCGGTTCATATCGGTTTTCAACCCAGTCACAAGCCCAAGTGCTTTAAAAAAAAAAACCCTAATAAAACCTTAATGAGTTTACCATAAACATAATCAAAATTTACCATTATATCAACTGTTATTTTTTATTTGACCTATAAATAATAATACATAATACACAAATATACATAACCCTACTTTAAATTAATATAATAATTTTTCTTACTCCAACATTAAAAAAAATCATTTTTTAAAAAAAGCAATAATTTGAGCTTTCTTAATGTGATTTGTTTCGAATTGAATAGGTGAGGAGTACAGGCCGAAATAACTTTGTCTTTCTTTCATATCTTTAATAAATAAGTTTTCAAATATGAATGAAATAAGCATATATAAGTATTATAACAAAGTATCAAAAATAGAATTTTTCAATTCCTTTTATAAGAATATTTTTGTTTTATAAAATATACAAATGGATGGATTAAAATATAAATATTCATAGAATTTAAAACCATGATAAAATATAGAATAACATGAAATTAACATTAATGTTTGCATTATAAATTTTATTTAATAAAAATTTACAATATTGATCAATTATTTTATTCACATTATTAATCATTTAACTTGCATCAAAACTAATTTTAAATACATAATTTAAAGAGTAATTCAAAAAACTATTAAGAAAATTGTGAAATAAAAAGTAGTTATGTTGGCCTGCAAAAGACAAATATATATATAATTAAAAACTGAAATTATAACTTAAGTATTTAAAAACAAATAAATAAAACAGAAAACAGCATCTTTTTCTAACCTCAAAATTATGCTTTTATTTCTGGTCAAAGAAGGAATTAATTTAAGAGCCTTTTATTATTGTCAGCATGAAAGGATGGTACTGCATTAAAATTAAAGCTATTTTATTAAATTTTAATTCATTATTTAGTTATTTTCGAATGAAGAATTTCTTAACTAAAAATTGTTAAACTAGGTAATATCTAAAAAAACCCGCCGGTTAAAAAGAGTTTTTTTTTAATACTTTTTTTTTAAAAACCCTGTTACCAAAAGTGAAATTCAAAGAATTTATTAGTTTTTTTTAATGAGTTTCAAGATTAAAAACTAAGAATATCAAATTAAAAAACTTAATATTAATTTTATATATTAACTGTAGACTCATAAGCATTTGTCTCACAGATCTCTCAAAATATGTAAAGGTAAACACTTTTAGTAATAAACTTCTAAGTACCTTTCAAGATTGTTAGATGAATGTCCATGAATAGTGTATCGAATAGCGTTTGTTTATAAATCTAGTTTTTTTTTGTAATAAAGGGTTGATACAAATGCTTCCGATTTTAAAGAAATTTTCAAGTGTTAAACAAAAGATATTTTTTTAAAATACCTCAAGACAGGAAAGGAAAATCAAGACAGAGACAGGTAAATAAGGAATAAAATTATGTATTCTAATTAAAATTGGCAAACACACCCTACTATTCTAATTGACTATTTGCCATAAAAACTAAAAAAATTGAGTCATAGCTTTTAAAAATAAAGAGGATATTTTGGATAAAACAGAAAGAAGTTCAAATTACCAGTTATTTGGCAGTGAGCAGTATAATGAGCTTCAGACAATAATGGTTCTTGCAATTCAGCCAGGAAACTCTTTAAAACACATGCACAATCATGAACTGTAAACAATTCAGAACTGAAGTCAATATTCTCTCCCAGTCTTAACAATGTTTTAAGTTGGTGCTGACGAGACAAGCTACCAGTTTTTCTAAAGAGTCCTTCACGGCTTATGTCTAAAATAAATAAAAAATACTTCAAAAGAAAACAAAATACAACATTCCTACATAGCTCCTTAAAGTATTTAATAACCAAAATATTTACTTCAATTTACCATACTCAGACATTTATATAATGATAAAATTTAGTGCTATTTAATGTAAATTATTTACATATTATACAGTTTTTCTACTGTGGGGGAAAAAACACCTTGGAAAAAAAAAACTTTTTCTCAAACACAAAAAAAAAAAAAAAAAAAAACTTGGATGCNAATTTGACTACACTCTAATCTAGAAAAAACAATATTAATATCTAAGCTATTTAATATATGATTTATGATATGACGTTTAAGTGAAGTTTAAAAAGCAATATTGGAAAGAAAAATGAAACAAAATAATTTCTTGATTTATTTGCAGTTAATTAATATTTTACATAAGAAATAAGTGTAGTAAAATCCAATTTCAGAATTATACATAAAGAAATGTAAAAATATCATAATAAAATTTTACAATACTACAGCAATTAACATATCAAAAATCGAACAGATACTCTAAACAATTAATTAAATTTTGGATTCACATTGACAAACAACATACTAATTTTTATAATCAAACACTGTTAGAATGTATGCTCATAATTACTCTAACAGTTTACAGAGTCTATACATAAGTCTTAAGTCTGTACATAACAACTTCTAAAATTTTGTACCAAACTAAATTAAAAAATCTAAAAAAAGTTAATTTTTAAAAAAAATAAATGTAAAAAACAAATTTTTTTTAATATTAAACTCAATTTGTTCAAATTTAAACTATTCTATTATCACTTATTTCTAAACATTTGCATTGGACAATTTCCCCCCTTCCATTTCATAGGCTTCCCTGGTAGACAAAAAAGGGTATCAAGATAACATTTTTCACAAAAAATCAAGATAGAAAACTTACATTTTTTGGAACAGTACCAGATAAGAATAAAATATACCATTTTTAACATCAGAATTACTTTTTTTAGAACAACAGTTCAAATTTCAACAGTTTTCAGTATGATTTTATTAAAACTGAGCAACCCATAAAAGTTTAAATTAATGTATAGAAAATTTCATTAGAATTGTTGCACTAAAATAACTAGCATCAATTAGTTAATACTCCTCCATACCAATATATAAGTAAAATAACTCTTAATTGAATTCAAGATTTATTAATCTTCTTCAGAAAAAGTTAAAACAATGGAACCTGTGGGTAAGGCTATATGCTCTTTTAAAATTTTTTTTTATTACCATATCTCATTTTATTATTGCTGAAAAATATTGAAATAAATTTTGCAATTTAAATAATATCTTCATTTTAATTGAAAGAATTTTTTGAAACAGATTAGATTTCAGATTTATTTTATTTTGTTTGTTATCACAGTTGTGAAAAGTTTGTAAAATAACTGATGCATCAGAACCTTGTATTAATATTAATAAAAGTATTTTTATTAACTTACTTATCTCACGTCCCAGAAATTCAATGATCTGATAAATATGAGATATAGTCTCTTGATTCAAAGGCATCACTTCTGATATAGATTTGTCTAAATGAATAAAAATCAAAATTTAACAAAACATGGAAATTTAATTTAAGAATACAAAGGTGCATAAAATTCTCAGAGCCTAATATTTCCCCACAATAGTTTTATTGGTTTAAAATTTCTTTCACAATTGCGGTGTTTTTTCCAACTTACAATAACTTTTTCAAAATATTTTTAGAAAGTAGTTTATATTTTATTAATATATTTTCTTTAATGAAAAAATAAATAAATCATTTGATTTTATCTAGTTCTTGCAATTTTATATAAAATAGAAATCAGAGTATCTCAGAGTATAGGTCAATTTTTCAAACCTCAAAATTATTGTAAAGTAATAAAGAGAACACTCATTGATCATGAAATATCGATGCATCATAAACAATGAGATAAGACATGAATAACTTAGTATAAATTTACCTTTTCCAAAAATTATTTTTAACTTGTTATAAAGAATTAATTTTACATTTTCTCTAATCCTATTTTCTATACATTAAAAGGTTTTTATTAGAAAAGAAACAATTCTATAAATTACGTTCAGAAAAAAATTATGGAGAAGAAAAGTTAAACTATTCAAGAGTATTTCAAAAAATATAATACAATGAAAACTTCTAAGATATACCAGCTTCAAATTTAAAGATTCAAAAATGTCATCTGTGTCGGATTTAATAACATTTAGCATGTAATCATAAGTAATCCTACTCTGAAATAATTTTACTTTGTCCTCAAAAAAAAAAATGTCTTCAACCCTATCTAAAATTTCCACACTTTTTCAAAAATTTTACAATAACATTTGAATTCAAAAGTTGTCCTGCGTTTAATATCATCTGACAAAAGATATTATCAACATAATTACTGACTTACACACCCAACAAACCAGAAATTTGCAATCTCGTAATCAAAAATAAGGGGTTAACTTTTACAATTGGTCAACATGGAATTACGGTATATTTAAATAGTAATAATTTAAAATTATAATGTGCAATCAGAACTTTTTTTACAATAAAACTTTAAGTAAAATTCAAAATTTTTTTTAATTGGACTAAGAATTTTCCAGGATTGCTTCAATTTCCCATGTACCTCGTTCGCTTGTTCAAACATGCTCTGCACCTCTATTATATTATCATCATTGTGGCTAGTGGCAAAGCTCCATCTCATCAGTAGAAACTGAGTTTTAACTTTAAAAAAAATCTTTCAAGATGTTAATGATTTTATTCTTTTGTGAATTAATTTTGACATTAAAATTTGATTTTAAAATGAGAAATATAGCAGTTTTTATAATTAAACTTAACTTATAGATATATGTATATAAATAAAGAAGGCAAAAAGAAATGATTACCAATTAAATTTCATATCAATAAAAATTACATTTTTTAAACTTTTGAAGCAGTTTAGGAAAAATGGAAGACATGAAATTACATGGAAAAGATTTAGGTCTTTTTTTATTTATTTATTTATTATTATTTTTTTGCAAATACTTTTTTCGTAACAGGCTTAACAAGACAGGCTAAACAAGAAAAAAATCACAATATCACAATACAAGTACATAAACAATTAACCTTTAATTGACATTTAAAAGCAACAAATTCTGAAAAAAAGTTAGTCTGAATATTAACTTCATCACTGGCTGTGATTTACTACAGTAACAAAAACAACTGATAGCATGCAAGTTATATTCATGAGTCATAAACTACTTATAAATATAATGAGACAAATCTAAACTATTAATTAAAAGAATAAAGTATTTAAATAATTATTAAAAAAATTCACCTTTCATAAAACGGCTAAAATAGTTGCGTTGTTTCTTTTTTCCATTGTCCTTTTCTAGTAGATGAGAAAATGCATCATTATCCAAATCTAGAGTAAATGTCAAATGCATTCGACATAATTCAACTAGTTTCTCAGGGTCGAATTTCTGAAGTTTCAGTATTGCTTCCATTTCTGCACATTACATTTATTCTACAATTAAATAAAATTAATTTTAATACCAATCTAAAATAATCTTTATAAATATAATATGATTATGACCAATAAATTCAATTTAATTACTGTAATCTTAATTTGGAACAAAAATACAAAAATATTATTAACCATTCACAATAGCAAATACGTATATAAATATTATTATATTATGTGATGTGTAAAATATTTAGAAAAACATTTTTTTAAAAAAATAAATGGTTAGAAAATATAGAGGTGCTATCTGAATCAAATGGATAAGTACCATCTAATCTTAAATTCAGCTGCCTGCATAGAATTGGTGGTTCAAAAAATAAAGTGTGATCAGCAAATAAATTTAATATTAATATCTTAAGTCATTAAAATAAAAATATTCTTCATATTTGAGAAAAATTAAGAACATTCTGTTTGAAAATACATAAAAATGGATTTAGTTACTGTAAATTTGTATCATTTAATTTCATTTACCCCCATCAATTTTATTTACACTCTTCTTTTCAGGGTGTTTAATTGAGGATCTTGGCTTGGGCAACCTTAGAACACTGCTTAATTTAGATATTTATAAATGATTTCATTTTTAATTAAACACCAGAAACTTCTTCATATTTATAGTATAGGGATGATTTATATAATGATACCTATGCTAAAATAATCGCCAAGTCCTGGTGACTTCTTGGTGTTGGTACTTGAGAAAAAAAGATCCCATTAGGAGACCAATTGGTCTTCATCCCCAAGCAAACTATAACATAAGTTTTTGGTGTTTTTTGGCTAGCCAAGTGAAAAGAAATTCTATTTTTTTGCAAAAATTGTTTTTGTTCAGCATTTAATCAATAAATAAAATAAAAAAAGAAAGAAGAATTTGGCAAATGCTTTTTTTGTGTGGCAATTTTATGCCTTTGCTTAATAGGGTTGTAAAAAAAAATCCAATCCACTGTTTCCCCCCCCCCTCAAGGCTNCCTGTTTCCCCCCCCCCCTCAAGGCTTAATTGTGTTTTGCTAACTTAATTGAGTTTTTCACCATTTTCTTTCATTCCTTAAAATCTTAGAGTAAGTTTTACTGTATTAATATGTACTACTACTTTGATTAATAACTATAATTATTAACACTTTTTATAGTAAAAGTCATTTACATTGATAAATTGCAACTAATATTTTTCATGCTAATAAAGCAGTTCAATTACTTTTGTAGAATTCATCTATTCAGTTGCAGAATTGTGAAAAATTAATAAATGTTCAAGAGAATAAATAAATTATTGATTTTAATTCAAATGAAAAAAATTTTCAAATTAATTCTTAACATGAAAAATATATTGATGCAATGGAGCATCCTATTACTTTTCCAACTGTGTTATCCTGTCCTATGTTATGTTCAGTGAAAGAGGGCTTCTAGAGGAATAAGCTCTAGTAGGAAATCAAGGAATACATCAGAACAAGAATTCAAGAAAAAGTATTTAAAATGGAAAAATATTATTTAAAACATATTTTTATAAATAATTTCCCAATTTTATTGAATTGTGACTCTAAAAATATTACATATTAAATCTTGTTATAACATAAGTTTCAATTGAATCATTAGAACAAGTAATATAACAAATGTTTGTAAAAATACTGCACATTATTTGAAATTTCTAATACATGATTTTAAAAAAGGTTAATTAGAAATTTTAAAGCACAGAATATAGATGTAAAGGAAATATAATAAATTTAATGAAAGTAATTTGTATTTTATTACAAATACAAACCCTTGAAAAAACCAAACTGGGATTTTATGAGTTTAAAATCATAACTCTGCCACTCAACTACAAGAAAAGTAAATTTTTTTTTTGCAAGTTCTAAAATTCTCGGCAACAGATACAAAAAGATCCCAACACAGTGCTTTAATCTATAATAACAATGATCACTCAGATTTCAAATATTATTCACAAGCATAATAAACAACAATTGAAAATGATCAAAACTAAAATTCCTAAAATAGTTAAATCAATTTTCTTAACTCGTTTGCAATTTGATGCACATTTGCTTATAAGTACTCAACTATCTATCATATGTACTCAATTATCTACTGTACCCTTGTACTCATTGTCAAGAAAATAAATTCTTAGAGTTCTTCTGGAAGATTTCCGTTTTGGTACATACTTAGGATAAAGCCAGTCCCAAGTTTTGGAGACTCTTAGGAATCGCATACAAGATGCTAATCTTTCACATGATTATTTTCATTTTAGATGATTATTTTCATTTAGATTTTTTCATATTAGAATTGTAACTCTAGGGTAACTCTTATCTCTTCCTAAATTATTCATAGTTGATCAACCATATTAACTTTCAAATATGCATGCGGCAACTTTTTGCAAAGTTTGCAAGCTTCCCAATGATATTAAATACGGAGTACTTTTTCTTTTGCACCATTTGAAATTTTAATCAATGAGAACAAACAAATTATAAACAATAGTTTTTCGCGAAATCGTAACGGATGTCACGATCAGGGAATTATGATATTATAACTTTTCTTATATAATCAATGATTACAATGAAATGGAATTGCCTTACCTTTAAAGAAATTTCGAATATCGCAATGAGTTTTCATATTTATAAGGATATTTTACATGCACTTTAAATTTACAAACAATCGATGATCACATTATTATTAAATACTGCGCTCTGCTTTAGCTGCTGTTCATTGGCTGGCACTTACTGCCATTCCCTGCTAATCAAATTTCGTTTTTTATGAGTTTGGTAATTTTGAGTTCACATCAGATAATTTGGCCCTGTCCTTAATTAAAATAGAATTTTTCTTTATCACAATTATGTTGTAATAACAAAATAATCCTTTATGGATAAAAACAATAAAATTATTTCAACTAATCGTAACCTTAAAGTTGTTTCTTTTTTCCGGTTGAGCTTAAAAATTTTTCCAGTTTAGACCGATCGAACTGAATAAACTTGAATCAGAGGTAACTTTTATATTTTGTACCTTGGCCAACCAAGTTTTGTACTTTCATTTAAATGTAAACGGAAAAAACTGGTTCAAACGATTTCTTTAGACGCAGTTTTATTCCAAATATTTACATTGGAAACGATAATTATCTAGAAATCACGATGAGTAAAAGGCATTCCTAATTTATCTGAATGCGTTATTTTCTCATCTGTAGAAATTTTTTTACATTTATCAAACCATTTCATTTTAACTTGAACAGAACTGCATCAAATTTTACGGCCATGGATCCTCAAGAAGCAGCGAAAAAAGCAGCAGCTTGTCAAGCTATTAAAGATCACATATCAGTATGCATAATTTTTCTTTATCAATTAATAATACTTGCAAGTTTTAATTTAATATTAGGAATGTCTCTTTCATTTATATCTACCAACGTAGAAAAAAGGATTTAAAACTTAGCTGTTCTAATTCAATTGTTCTCCATATTTCGTTAATTAAATAAGAAGTATAAATAGTACAAATAATTGATGATGACTAATTTATTGGGAATTTTTTTAGTGCTATTTCAATTATCATTAAGTATTTCTGCACTGTAATTTATTAGCTTGCTATTTCGTTAGTAAATTAGCCATTCATTCTTCTTTTAGAAATAATTTAAATGTTTTTTATATATATATTTTTATACATTATTTTTATCTGTATGATTTTAAAAATATCTATGATTGTATTAATTCTCTCTATTTATATTAATCTTTATCATAAGCAAAGGCACAAATGACAAAAAAGTTATTAATTTTTCCAATCATTTACTTACCTACTTATTTTCATAGTGAATTTTTTGTTAATGATTTGGAAATCTTTTGGGAAATTTTATTTTAGGGGAATTGTGTTGTCGGAATCGGAAGTGGGTCTACTATTGTTTATGCAGTTGAAGAATTAGGTTTGTATCAATGTTTATTCTAATTATATTAAATGTAAATATTTAATACTCTTTGAAATTTTAATGGAATGCTATTATCTATTATTTACAGTTGAGTAAAATGCTTAATTTTCTTTCAAAATTACATTGCATCAAATAAAAGGATCTTTATGCTTTAAAGAGGTTTCGAAACTTCTAAAAAATTTAAAGTAATCATCTGTTACTGAGCAATCGTGAATATTTTAAAATGTATCAACATCTTTAGGCTATCTTTAAGTTTTGTGATTATATGACTGATAATATAGTCATACGATCAAAAGATAAAACCTTTACAAGATTTTATTAATGTTTTTTACTTTATTTGTAAGTTTTGAAATGATTAGACAAATAAAATTTATGCTTTATGAATTAATTTATATGATTTAATTTGTCTCTTTAGCAAGAATTGTTAAGGAAAAGAACTTGAAAATTCCTTGTATACCAACATCGTTTCAGGTAATTTTGATTTTTGTTTGTAAAAATTGTAATATTGTTTGAATAGTCAAGCTCATCATTTTTAAATAATATATATCTCAGAATTTAAAAAAATGTTGAATTTAGATTCCATTCCATTAAAAGAGGAGAAGTGATAAAGAGACCACGATTTTGTATGAAGAGCGTCATTTCTGAAGAAAACTTATGTATTTTAATGTAAAGTAGACATTAAGACTTGTGCAACATAGAAGTGCACAAGTCTTGTGCAGTACTTAAGCAGTGTATATATAACCTGGCAATTCTCATTTAGCTACATCATATTAGTTAATGTCTTAAGACTAAAATTATCTTAATGTCTGTTTATTTCTTCATTAAGTTTGAGATTATTTAATATATTTGTGTGTTATGTTGAGTGGTTACAAATACATACATGAAATGAATTAAAATGGCTCCAATTAGAATAAGTAAAGGAACTAAAGTTTATTGAATTTAAGAATTTTTATAAATAGATGTTGGTATTCAATAACATTCAAGATATAGAGTCAATATTCAAGAACAAACTTCTAAGGAAAATAGGTTAAAGATCTATAAGGACCTATAGTTACGTATGGCAGTGAAACTTAGGACTCTGACAGATAAAAACTAATCTAATCTACTAATCTTTGAAAGGAAAGTGGAGGATAAGAAACAATAATGAACTTGACGATTTAATCAGACTAAAAAACATAATTTTATTTATTAAATTCATACATTGACGATTTAATCAGACTAAAAGCAGAATTTTATTTATTAAATCCATACATTTGGCACGGTTGTGGCAAATTAAAAAATTAAATGATTATAGAAATTTAAGAAAACTTTTAAAATGGAAATATTTCAACTGGAGACCAAGAGGAAAAAAGAGAAGGTTAGACAATGGCACCAAAAATTTGACCACCTTAATAAACCTTAACTTAAGTTTAAAAACTGAAAGTTAAAAGCCGTAAATAGAAAGGTTTGAAACGATATTGTTCAGCAAGCCAAGGCTTACAGCGGGCTGTAGTACTGTGCAATTAGAAGTAGTAGTTATAATGTTTCTTAGAGAAACTCATTGTATTACATATGAAAAATATTCTAAATTCAAGTAATGTGATAAATAAGAAGAAAATATCTATTCTCATATCTTTAAATTTTATGTAGAAAGTTCATATTTTAGTGTGTGATGGAGTTATCAATTAGTTAATTATTTTATGCATTTATTTATAAAATTGATTATTATTGTCTTTTTAGGCAAAACAACTTATCAGAGAGTTTAATTTGTTGCTTAGTGATCTTGAAGAATACCAAGAGGTATATTTTTGAGTTATTTATTTATCCTCTAAAAAGTATTTTAATTACTCATTTTGTCAACGTAATGAGAATATATTTATTTCCTTTTGCTATTTAATTTATTATTTACTAAAAAATATTTTGTCATTGTAAATATTGTTTTCTAAGTTTGCAACATTTAGTTCTATATTTTTTCATGGTTTATAACATATGACTTTTATGCTTTTTAGAATAAATTTTTCAATGATAAGTACTAAAACAAAACTTCTTAAAAACTATTAATTTTTTTTTTAAAGAAACATTTCCTGCATTGAACAACATTACTGATTAATTATTTGGACATTTATATACACTAGCTGCCAACTCTTCTGCATTTTGCTGAAATGTTTTTGCATTCAGTTCCATATTTTGCTTTTTTGAACTGAGACTGAAATCGTCTACATTTTGGATAACTATAGATGACTCACATCTTTTATTTTCCATCCTATATATTTGTTTTAGAAGTGATTATACAAAAAAGGGATACTTTTTTTCAATTTATTTCATCTGATTGTGTTACTTTATATTCCAATTGTACTAGCTGTTGCCGATCATTTCCTTCAATTTTTTTAAATGGTGTATTAACCCTCTGGCGGTTAAGGAAATGGGCAAAATTAGTAGAATGTTTCTCTTCTATACACTATTCCCCTATCCATTAGCATGGATAAACCGGTTTTGCTATGCAGAGAAGACTGCAGGTTAAAATGCGACTTTTTACGTGCAGAACCACCAGTGGGTTAAAGACTCCAATATCACTTTCACAGCTGTAGAAAAATGACTTCGTAGCTAACAATGGGAAAACTATAACTTTACAACTATAAAACTATAACAGTTATGTTATAAATCTGATTGAGGCTTATGAAAAATTCACTAAACTGTTGATTCTTTGAATAAAGAATTAAAATTAAAAACATGCAAAATATTTTGCATTTTAAATAACTTCTGCAATTTTGTTGTGAAGCTTCTGTATTTTTTTAAAATAAAAATAGGGGGCTGGCAAGTATGCTTTATTAGATTGGTGAAATTTAGTATAACAGATTATAGCTGTCTCTAGAGTAAAACTATGGAGAAAGAGAAATGTTTAGAAAAAAGTTAGAATTTTTTTGGTATAACTATTACTCATGCTCTTAAAAGTAATTTGCTCTTTTTATAAAAAGTACAACAGTGATCCTCATTTTTTTGAAAAAATTTTGCTGCAATGGTACTTAAATATGCCAAATTAAGCTGTGAAAAGTTTCTGATAAAATCAAAAGATTGCAGTTGTTAAAGGGATTCTAATAAGTATTTCCTAAATCAGAGTTTGCAAACTTTTTTCAAATGTTGTGCTAGCTTACTTGCAGTTAATTAGTGTCCGGTTTCCAGTAAGCTGCTATTTTAATTCTTGTAAATTAATCAATTGTGATTTTTTTAAAAAAAAAAAATCATTGATTTAAACAAGTTAATTTTTTTTAAATAAATCATTAAGTTAAAAATGTTTTTATAAATATATTCTTTAGGGTGGGATCTTTTTAATTGAAGGTTTTATCCAAAGAAGTAATGAAATGGGATGTATGTAAATTATGATATTTCTAATTAGATAATAAATAAAATTAGTGACTAAAAGTGTGCAAGATTGGTGTGAGTGAATATTTTCTATTAGCTGTATATTAAATAATTTGCTGGTAATAAGCATATTTTAATTATTTCCTTTTAGTTTTATGTTTATTTGAATACACATGCTTTTAAAACTCTTAAATACCTAATTAATGTATGCAGATACTAAAGAAAGAATTTATTCTGCCCTGAGGAACATACAATATTTTTTTCCTTCAAGTTAAATTACTTTTCATACTAAACTTATTCAAGCAATTTGTTTAATACTAAACAAAATTCGAACGCTAATTTACTTTCCTGTTCTAAACTAATTTACTTTTCATTGGATATGTAATTGACAAATTGCCTCCTAGGCTTTAAAATTTTAAGCTGTCCAGTTTGACTGAAAATAAGCATGACTTTATTTATTCTGTGATTAGTTTATAATATTTAAATAATAATTTTTGAAGTATTTTTGGACTATTAAAGTTGTTTACGTGCAACTTAAATGANTAACAACTTTTTTTCTAATTTTTTTGCCCAAAAATGAATTAATTTAAATTACAAGCAGTCAAACTCAAATAAAAATACAGTTTTACCGTAACTATGGGTTTTTGACAGAGGGTTTTTTGACATGGTAAAAACCGTCATGTGTCAAAAACTTGCCAACCCTGTTTTAAATTATGATCACAGTCTTGTAACTGCTGTGGTTTACAATATTTATAGTCATTTTTATCTAAACATAACTTTTTCAAAATTTAATTAACTGTTGAAATTAGCAAGATTATTTTATCAATCTGTAAATAATTGGGAATTTCTCTTCTATATTTATTAGGAGAAAACTAGCTATTGATAGTTAGTAGTATAATTAGTTAGCTAACTAATATAAGCTAACTAATATATAATGAATTGTTTATCCATAGTAAATAATTAATAAATTCATTGAATTATTTAACAAAATTTTATAAATTGAAAGATTACTTATTTATTCTGCCCAAATTTAATTTTCACAGTTGGATTATGTGTTTGATGGTGCTGATGAAGTTGATGCTAATTTGGCGTTGATCAAAGGTGGAGGCGGATGTTTAACGCAAGAAAAAATAGTTGCCTCATGTACAAATAATTTAATTATAGTAGCTGATAGTAGGTAAGATGATATAACTTTATAATCCTGTCATTATTATTTTTAAATTTATCAAGTTTATTTAATCTTCTATTTTGTGTTTCCTATTAATCACCCTGTTAGAATTGTAATTTTCTATAACAAAGTCATGCTAAATTAAAATGAATTTGTAAATTTTAAATCATGTGTAGCCAAATAAGGTGTTTTCATCTAACAGTTTTTTTTTNTTTTTTTTTTTTAAAAAGATGATATTACATTACAAAGAATCTTACTGTGGAGATAGTAGCTATTGACAATGTCAACCTTCATCTATGAAAATTCATATTCCCCACCATAAAATGGAGTTAACATGTCTTACAAACTAGTGAATTGGAATTATATTTTTCTAGTGGTAGGTACACTACAGTACTCCCCCACCAGATTTATATCTGTGATAGAATTCAATGAACAGATACCACTAGTTGATTCATTGCTGTTTTGTAAGAAGCTGAGAGAGCTGTATTAAGATCATTGTACTTTTTGAGTGCTTATTGTGGGAGCTGTATTAAGTTTGCGGTCATGGTTGCCCGTGCTTTGTTTTTTAGCAGTCGAGTGTATATGTTGTACGTTATGTGTGATCGAGACTGAGAAGCAACAGCTTGAGGAAGGCAATGTCGCAGTCACAAGTAGCAAATTAACTGTTCAATGTGGACCATCCATCGAAGTAGGCGTGTTCAAATCGCCGCGGGCGTTTCTGCCAAGTTAGGCGTTTTCAAATCATATCCAGGTCACCAATGTGGGGTTGGTAGCTTTCGACAATGTCAACCAGTGTTTTCTTCATGGAAAAAGAAATGGGTGAGAATTTCTCACCCTTTCTCAAAAACAGTTGAGATTTCAAAAAGTTAAGTGAGATTTCTAAAAACTAAAAAAACACAAATAGACTTGAAAAAAAACCATTTCCTTAATTATGATACATTTTTAACATCTTCTATTTTTTAAAGCATTGAATATTTTTGCTGCATCATCATAAAATATTTTGCCTTTACAAGGTATTTGTCCATCTTACATTAGTGTATAAAGAATTTGAACGTCTTACATGAAGAAAACCTCACCTGCGGTAAACACGTGGTAGCAGAGAAATGTGTTCTGAAAGGTGTTCCGTGCTTCGGAGGGGCTGTGTTCTGTTGTTCGAAAAGGTTCTGAACTATACTGGTAAATAGGGAAGATAGATAACGGAGCAGATGTTGCAATTAATGAAACATCCGGGAAGAAAAGTGAAACAGATTTTATTCTAAATGGCGTAATGCGAGAAATTCGCCAATTTTGAAATTGATTTATAGAATGCACGAATTTCTCGCGGTGATAATTTTTTAATGCGAGAAAAGAAGAAAATGTGCGAGATTCTCGCGCTGTAGTGAAAACACTGTCAACCTTCATCTATGAAAAGGTACTCCACCATAGAATCGAGTTATACATACTGGTGAATTGAAATTATATTTTTGTAGTGGCAGATACGCTCACTTATATCACAAATAAAATTACGTTATGAAGAATATTACATTATAAAGAATACTATTATTATTATTTTATTTTGCAACAAAAACTGACCAGACATTTTTATATGCATCTTTTCATATTTTTGTGATCTTAGTTGATGTTTCCAAAATACTTTATTGTGCTGCATGCTAATTTAAAATGAAATTAAGCTGTTTTCAGTGATTTTGATATTGATACAAATTCTTTAATCTCAATGCTGTAGCTATTGTATGCAATGAAAAAATGATAAACGTGTATTTAAAGAAAAAGTACAAATGGTTACTCTTTGCACAATTGGAGGAATTTTTAGCCAACTTTTCTACTTCAACTTTTTTAAATCTATTAATTTGATTCTTGTTCGGACTCAAGTTGGATGTATTAATTTCATTTTGGTAAAGTTTTATGCAATTAGTTGACTGCTCGCCAGATATTTCATATAATTTGAAAAAATGTGGCTTTCTTCTAATCATATTAAATGTTTAGTAAGCATTGTGTCCCTCAAGCTTTACTAAGTGCTGTATCTTAAGTAGTAAAGATTTATTAATTGTTACTAAGAATTTTTGCCAAAGCCTGTAACTACTTGAATAACAAATTTTTTTTTTCTCAGGTTGGCTTAACACAGCTAATATTTAATGTTAGCATATTTTAAGTTTTTAAATTTGACAATGTACACATAGCAATTTTTTGATATACTGTGCCTATAATTTCTATGACTTTTGACAGAAATCTACTGGATTTCATAAATATGCAACTATGTGTATAACAAGCTTATAAACTGTTAAATTTGCATTTAATATTCAGTGTTTTTTTTTTTTTTTTGTAGTTTAAACTTATTTATCAGGCCATTTTAAATCTCTAAATTGGTGATTAATGAATAGCAAAATCCATATTTGCAATTTTTTTGTCATTGGTATTGCATATTACCATAGAGAAAATATATTAGAATGAATTAGGGAAAAAGCAGAGTTTGCTATTTGCCTGGATACCAAAAAACGACATCTAAAAGAAATTGTTTAGTTATTATTACCTAATAAACTTTTATAATTTTTTTTTTTTTGTTGACAAATTTCTTGAATAAAGTAAAAGTTATCTAAACACTATGGAGTTTGACTAATTAAAAAGGTAGATTTTAATGAATAAAAACACATACCTAATTGCTTAAACTCACTGTAATGAGGATACATATTTTTGTATAGATCTACTGTTTCTTATAATAAACAAAAATATATTGATTAATAATTTTTTAAATTAAATTCTAATTGAATAATTCATTAATCAAGTATTACATAGTTTTATAAATATAGCTCTTAATGACTGAATAATTTTATTCATCAACTCCACAATATTCAGTACTATTTCCACATTTATTTATGGTTTATTTATTATTTTGATTATTTATAATTTTGATTTTTCATTATTTAAAACTAGTGTGACAAACTTCAAACACCAGGATTAAGGAATTGTTTGTTAAAAACAGTTATCTGTTTCTAAAGAGTGTATGTTATAGAACTTTAATTAAACAATTAAAAATTTTTTTAGTTATTTCTATGTATATTGCATACATTTATGTTTTAAATTTTGTTTACTTCATGGTTATAACGTAGGAAAGACTCTACATTTCTTGGAACTAATTGGACAAAAGGCATACCTATTGAAGTTATACCAATGGCTTATATGCCAATTAAAAGGAGATTAGAAGCTATGGGAGGACCTGCTGAATTAAGAATGGCAAAAGCTAAAGCTGTAAGTATAACTTTCATCAATCATAATAATTTAATCATTAAAATGTTATCAGTAAGACTGTTAATTTTTAATTGATTTAGTCATGTTCAAGTGTGTATTAATGTTGTACATATTTTCTTACCACATGAACCACATGTTTTTCCTGATTTTCAATAAAACGTTAGCATTATTAAATTTTTTTGAGAAATTTCCTATTCTTGCTTATATTTGTTTATAACCCTTCCTCCCTCTATTTCTGTTGTGAAATAATAGCAGCTATGCTATTGCTTTACTCTATGTTAAATTATTACAAAATTCAAATATGGAATTAAAATATAAATTTAATTTTCCTTTGAAAATATTCTGGCTAGGTCTTTTAAGCTATTTTTCTTTTCTGTATTTTCAATTATTTGCATTGTTAACATATTCAAGCAATTACATATTTCGAATTGTTTATCACCACTGTCATGTCGGGAGAGTTAGATATCGTTTGTATTTGTATTTATTTAATTTAAATCGACATATTATAATTGCATTAAATCGACATGTATTAAAATATGATTTAAATTGTTTAGCGTTATATAAATCTCAGTAAACATAAGCCTTTTTTTTGTGAAATAACTTGTAACAAACAATACAACAAAAATAACAATACAGCAAAGAATAACAATAAAATGGAACTGTTATCAAAATGAAACTGTGGGGATAAATGAATGATGGGACTGATTAGCTGGTGTGATAAATGAATCTCATTTATCCCACCAGTTAAATCATTTGTCCCATCAGGATAAATAAAGCTCATTTATCCTTTTTTATCAAAATTTAAAATAAAATCTATTGAACTGTGTAAGTCCTGGGTATTAGTCAAAAGTATAATCCACCATGCAGTACGCAATTTTCTCATTTTACAATATTTTGCAGTTGAGATAGTCATTCATTATTTTAAAATTCTGAATTATATTTTAAATAGCTATGTGGCCGATGTTAATATAATTTTATCTTGTTAATTATTCTTGTTATACAAACTATTACACTAATCTCTACTGATGTCTTTGTTACACAAATTTTTGGTCATCAATTTAATTGCAATTTATTTTGCTTGATTTACAAGTTTTCTTTTGTGTGTTTTTTTGTTAAAACTTAGCTTGATTTAGATGCTTCAAACTGAAATTAAGTTTGTTAAATTTTGTTACAACTGTATATTTTATGATTAGTTGTAATATTTTTACTAATTTTGTCTAGGAAATGAAATTATCTTTTCGTTACTCAAAAATTAATTAGAATGTTCTGTTTTAAAAATCTTTTTTATATTTAAATCAGCAATTTTAAATTATTGCAAATTATTTAATCATTAAGGTGCATTAGAAGAAAATAACTTACTTAAATGAAGGATTAAAAAAAGTTTGATACTTTATTAGTAAATATTCTTGTATTCTTTCTATATTCTTATTATATTATTGTTATTTAAAACAAAAAAGATTAATTATGTATTTTGTGTCAAACTCAAAGAAATATTATTATTATTTTTGTTTTTGAGTCTCAAAAGCATTTATGTCTTATTAAAGACAAATTCAATTAAAAAAATAAATAAATCAGGTAGTTCTTAATAACTTTTGTTAAAATAACATTTGGTGTCATTTACACTTAATCATATTATCAGTAACTTTCATAAGTTTAAAATTTCTTTAAAAATTAAAAACTAGGTATTACGATAGTAACACAATATGTTATATTTGTATAAGTCAGTTTTTAATTTTTAAAAAAAATTTAAACTTCTAAAAAGCTAATAAAAATTGATGTGACAAAATGATAAATGGGATGAAATTAAAAAAGTATAAATGACAAAAAAAGTTATTTTAACAAGAATCATTTGAAGTATTTGATTTTTTTTGCGAACTTTTACATATTTGCTGTCTGCAAATACGGCTTTTGTTTCTGTCTGCCAGTTTTTCATGTTTGTATTTATCATCTACAAACATGGCAGTATTTGGTTTCATCATAATTTTCATATTCTAGGGACCACTTGTTACTGACAATGGAAATTTCATTTTGGATTGGAAATTCACCATTAAAAGTGCGGACTGGAGGACACTGAATCAAAAAATATTATGCTTTCCAGGTTAGTGAGCTAATTTTATTTCTTTTGTTAATAGTTGATATTGGAAATTTCAAAGTTACAAAGAAAGTTTTTTTTTTTTTTTTTTTAAGAAATGTTTTTATTTTTAAAGACAAGTTTTTTTTTAAAAAAACAATTTGATCGCTAAGTGAAATGAACTATGCTATTCCCAAGTATTTTATAGTATTTGACTATTTCATTTAACTATTAATGTTTTCAATAACAATTCAAAAATATCCACTTTTGTTCCAAAAATATGCTAACACAATAATAAAGAAAGAACTATATGCTTTTATATTACTTTACAACTTCTAACTAAACTAAACTCAGTGGTGCGACAGCCCATAGAGGGCCAAGGCCTACTGTGCCCATCTCAGTTTTCTTGACCTTGGGCTCTGGGGTGCAGGAACAGATGTTCCGGTCAGGTGGTCAGCCGAATGCGACTTTACAACTTCACTTAACATTAAAATAAATACTTAACATTTAAATTTTATTTTAGTGATATATGTTAGAGAGTAATTTCTCCCCATGCTTGTATGTAATATAAAAATTCAATAGTATTATATTCAATAGTATTAATTAAGTTTTATGAAATACACATTTCTTGTTTTCTTTAATCCATTGAATCAATACAAATTTGAATATATTTAAGGCAAAATATCGTATTTATTTTATATTAAAAAAATGCTTGAAAATAATGGAATTATTAAAAAGTACAAAAATGACATAGGTTGCATTAGTAAAAGTAATCTTTAGTACTAATGATTTAATAATTAATAAAGTGTCAAATTCTCTTTTTAAAATTTATTTTAAAATAATAGAACTTCAACAGATTTTGTAGCTGTATTGAAATTTTTTTTATTTTTCTGATAAGGAAGCATTTTTTGTTATTCATCTTTTTTTTTTTTAGCTATTTGTTCTAATATTTCTGATTTGTGTTGTGAAATCCCTGTTTGAAATATTTGATTAAAGATATTTTATATATTTGCACATTTTAAATAAATATTGTTGTGAAGGAATGTTAACTAAATGATTATATGACAATTTTTTTTGATGAACAGTATCATTAAAATTTTTTAAATATTAATCACAAACTGTTATGAATTGCTAGGTGCTTTATTAATAAATTCCGCTGGAAATATTGTTAAAACTTCTTTTTCAGAATAAAGTAACTGAATTTAAAAGTATTACCTGTATTTTATTTATTTATTCTTTTTACAAGTCCTTGAATTAGTCCTTAAATTAGCCCTTGTTATATTTAATTAGAGCAAATTATAAATTTTTTAGTTTTTTTGTTTGTTCTTTCTAAAAGTAGTCTGGTACATGTATACTGTACCAAAAAATGTCATGGTTTTTCCTTTAGTCCACTAAGAAGTATACTATTATTATAATGCAGCATTAATAAAATAAAATAGAATGAGTAAATTTAATTTTTTTATTTTTTGAATAAAATGTTTTATACCAAGAGACTTTTTTTAAAAATTTGCAACAATATTTTGTAATTTATGTAAAATTCAAAAGCTAATTATATCTTTTTTATTTCCAAATCTATATAAAATCAAAATCTAAAGTTTGGAGAATTGGAATCTAAAATATTGTTCATATTGATGGGATATTTTCTATTATCAAACAAAATTTGTTTTTTTAATTTTATTATTTTTTTTTCCAAATTATACTTTAACTTAAACTATCAGGCTTTAAGTGTAAGTTCTTTCTTGGGTAATTACTCTACAGCTGTATAGGTAACAACTGTGCCTTTCAGCAGAATAATTCAACTGTTTATCTGTGACATAATTATGCTTTTTGATGGCGCTCAAGATTGAGGATTTTCGCGTTGAATTTCAAGACATGTGAATTAATTATATCTTCCTTTATTCTTCAATTTTCTTCTATTTTTGTCTGTTTTACATATTTTTTTTCTAAGGAATTATTTTTTGTGTATTTATTTATTTATTATTATTATTCTTTTTGGTGCTTAATACATTTTTGTACTTATGTCTTCCAATTTGGCAATATTAACATTTATTCAAAAAGCTGAAAAATTCTATGCTGATAGTGTGATGTGAGTTAAGAGAATACAGTATTACGATTTTTTAAAAAAAAATTATATTTTTTAAATTATATTTAAGCATTTCCTTAAATTATTGCATATTTTTTATTATTTTTTATGCTTTTTCTTGAGTAAATAATCCTGTTCATCTATATATTAGGCAAGGAGAAAAAATAATGTTTTGCTATACATTGACATAAAGAAACAATTTCAATGACATATGATGAAAATGGTATTCTTGAGAATTATGAAAAGTATCTGGTAGACCTGAAAATTAAAATTTTTTGTTAGTTATCAGTGGTTGGTACACTTAAATAACTTAGCAACCACTTTTCTTTCAAACCGAATGCATTGGTGTCTGATATCAATAGGTTCTTTTAATTTAATAGCCACTTTTTGCAAACTTGTTTTGCTTGGATTAAATAACATTTTTAAGAAAACTCATATTAGAAACTCATATTAGCTTTATTAAACTTTATTTAGCAATGTTTGCAGAGATAAAATTGTATGCATTACCTCTTTGAAACATGTGAATTGTTAAAAAGCTCCTCTCACATGAATTTTCCTATCTCAAACTGATGGATCCTGAGGGATCACAATTTTCAATGGAGATATTGAACATTTTAATGAAAATTCTGTTTTCCAGAGTCTTCTTGCATTGATGTATTTTCATCATTAAACGATTTTATAAAAAAAAAATAAATCAGTAAAGACAAAGGGAAAAAGTGACTGGTTACTTAATTAAGTCACCACTTTTTTTTGCTGACTCGCCATGCGGCGAGTGTATGTTTTCAGGTCTAGTATCCAGGATTTATATTTGGAAAGCTGAAATTTTTTAAACTCTTCTTAAACAATACCTAACAAATTTTTAACTACTAGTGCCCATAAAATGTTTTTTGCTTCAGTATTTTCTACAATTTTTTATTTTCTATATGCTATATTTGATTGATATTTCATATAGGTGTTGTGGAAACAGGTCTATTTGTTGACATGGCAAAAAAAATTTATTTTGGTGAAGAAGATGGTAATGTGACAATCAAGATATAGCTGTGATATAAATTTTAGGCTTTTTAAATTGTATGACAGATTTTAACGATGTAAATTGCACTCATATTTTACTTTTCATTGTGTTCTAAATAAAGCTCTCTCATATGCCTTTTTTTATATTTTTGTAAAAAAAAAGTGAAATAAAAGAAATGATTTGTTTATATAGAAGTGTTATTAAATTATTAGTCAATTAAGTCCAGGCAAATGTTTGATAATTGAAGAAATTATGAAATCCCAATAAATAAATGGAATTAAAGAATTTGCATATGGCTCTATATCTGTTATTAAACTATCTGTCAAATTTTTGAGGGAAATGTTTGAAGAAATTGTAAATTCTAAGGAAAAAATAAAATTTTTCATTATTCAGTTTTAAATCCTAAATTTTTTGCTGTTAAGAAAGGTGTGCTTCATACTTCAGTGCAATTTTTTCTTTTCTAAACTTTCCCTTTAACTAAAGAATTTCACCTTGTTTAGCGTTGTAATAATAATAAAAATCGCATTCAGTTTAGTAATAAGGAAAATTTTACCTCTAATATGTGAATATTTAGTGAAACAAGTAATATTTAATTGTAACGCATATTTAAATCCAAGCATAGTTTACAGCTTTAGTATCATTATATAATTTTCTTAATTTATTTGATGATAGATATGTTAAACTTAATTACATAATTTTTTTCAAGTATAAATCTTTAATTTATATTTAAACTTTTTTTTAAATAAAAAGGTAAGAAAAGCCTAATGTTAGCACATGCTTTTAAATATTCCTTTAACTAGCAAATTTAACAAAATATAGAAAAAAATAAAAATTTTAACATAGAAGTTCAGAAAAGTCAAGAAAATTTTATCTAGAACTTTACCAAACACTCTGATTTATGTTGCATTTGAATAAACTATCAGATTAAACTTTTTTAGTGTTGCATCACATAATTTAAGATTATTTAGGAAAAAAAAAATTGAAACAATTTTAGAGAATGCCAACTAAATCTATGCATGGCTGTATGTTGGATTTTTTTTCCAATGATGAACTTTAGATAAGGAAACCCATTTATTTCTGACACCAAACTTCGGATTTTATTTATAATAGTTAATGAACTAGTAAATTGTATTTAACAAAGTTTTGAAATAAAATTTACTTCTTTCATCAACTATGAGAATACATAGGAACACTGTGTTCAATAAACAATATTTGAACATTGACATCCATTTAAATTCAAGAGAGAAAAAAAATTAGTAAATAACTTGGATAATCACCTTGTTTTGCTTTAGGAGTCCTCCTGTTGTTCTAAATGTTAAATTGAAAAGAGATAAAAAAAATTTGATATGGAAATTCTTCATTTGCAAAATTTATGTTTGATCATTCTAGTAGGATACATAGAAGCTCTGAGATGGAATGATGATTGTGGTGCAGTTATGAGAGTTAAAAAGTCGAACAAGCAGGGAATAAAGCTCTGCATTAAGGACCTAAAATTAAAAAAAAGGAATAGGTCAAAAAAGCATTGCAAAAGAAAGCATTATGACTATGGATTCACCACCCCATGGCGTCTTCTTCTGTGGCCTTTTTTTATATGAATGACCACCACACTCTTCACCTTAAAGCTATTCGTGAAGCTTTGGTCACTGCGAGATATTAGGATACAAGGAGACGCTTAAAGAGGAAATGACTTTTTGTGTTTCTGTTTTAATCCTTGTATGTTCTTTTATTGTTATATTGTCAACCCTCTTGCAATTGGAAATAATAAAAAAAAGGAAGAAATACTGCAAAGGAAACAAGGATTACACTCAATGCAAATTACGCGCTACATCTACGAATAAGGAAATTTTTATTTATTATTTTTAAATTCCATTTCAACATTTAAATCTTTAATTTCTTTTGCAATCATGTCAGTTTGTATAAAATACCCATTTTCATAGTATTAACAGTGGCTGCATATTAATTTGTTACATTGTAAAATTAAATTAATACATTTATAAATATTCTTAAAATAATATAGCATGATAAGCAATATTTTTTATTCATATTTTCAAGTTTTTGAAGAAGAGTTATTTCACTATTTTATTCTTGAATCTAATGATTTTAGTATTTCTTTCCCTTCCATGAATAGCAAAATTAATTAAAAGCTTGCATGAATTTTCTTCCCTTTGGAACAAAATTATTAGCTATAAAAATAAATAAATACAAAACTAGGTTTTTGTTAAAAAAAAAAAAACCCATTATTATCCGTTAGCAGAAATCCGTTATAAACACTATCGAAATAAATTCAAAATGATGTTTAATTTTTTTCTCTCTCAATGACACTTCAAAAATTAGTATTGAAATGAATGACATTTAATTCCCGCTTTTTAGAGTTATCGTTTCTGAAAAATCTAATTGATCTGAAATTTCTCTTAAACTTTGAACCATGATATTGGTTTCTTAAAACGTAATATCATATAAGTTTGCTACAATCCCTTAAATAATTAATTGTTAAATTAAAACAGCTGTTTAATTTGAACAACGATGGAGTAATCACCTTTTAGATGGTTTAATTTGTACGATAATATGGTACAATAAGGCACGGAATTAAAGTTGGAGCAAATTCACGCTTTATTTTGTTTAATGTACCTTAAAATTTTTAACATAGTAATTTGTAGTAATTATTGCATCTAACAAATAAGATCAACCCACAAGGCATCTAAGGAATACTAAGGAAAACTCTATCATCATATGATCACAAGTTTCTATCTCTGAATAACTTCTGTGCCTTTTTATTTTTCTCACAGCTCATGAAAATCTTGACATTAGAACTTCACAGTAATAAAATTGGCGTTCAAGAATAAATTTTTGCAATAAATCGAGATTTATTTCGAGAAGTTATATGTGAGACGTTGCACTGTCAAATCAGAGAGATCTGCGCTCGTCTCCTTCCGGATAACTTCTTTCCACCGAATCAGATCATCACTGCGCAATCTCCAATCAGTCAATAACTACTTCACGCTTGCGCAGTATGGATCTTATTCCGTATATCAGTAACTCGTTATGAAAAGAGGTACGACTTCCTTAGATGTACAGCATATCTTCATACCATTCATAGATGTTTTATAGTACACATATCAAGAATAAAAAACTCGCTTCTCTGTTTTAGAAATAGTTCTCGATTATATATCGAAATTATACTGAAATAAATTGTCAGAAAATATTGATATCTTTCCATAAATCACGTTATTTTTCTAATTAATTAATATATTATCAACATTTACTTACATATCGCATCCGATAATTAACGGGCACCCTGTTATGATTCTAGTCTTCTGTCAACGTTTGGGCCGTGTTCGGTACCCCTTGCTTGTTCATAACTCGAGGTCTTGTGTTAGAGAGTTTTCCTGTTCGGTTTGTCTGTTTCTCCAATGGCCTTCTTGGTGATGACTTTTCATATTTTCTTCTGTATATGCCTTTAGACCATAGTTTGGCTGAGGTCTCAATTTTAAACTCACACTAAATGCTGGATTTCGGATTGGATTGAAAGTTTTCCAATCGTGTTTTAGTGGTTAGGAATCCACTCTTAAAATAATGACCCAGGCCGAAATATAATGACGTATGGTGGGGCAGTTGAGGAGTGTAATGCGGAGGGCAAGTGATAACTGCCGCCGCCTGCCCTTCGATCTAAATTGTGGTAATATAGTGCATGCACGAGCCAGTGTGGTCTTCAACATGGTCTTTTAACAGTGTGGACATAAAGATGAACGCCCAACCGTCGTCAATAGCTCATGAGTGTAGCTCTAGTGCGACATTAACAACCGAGCCAATCGATAATTATTGCTTTTAATAATCTTCGCATCATTATCGTATTCAGATCGCATTTAATGTTTATTGTTGTCAATAGCTGTCGTTTGTTGTCAATAACTGTCGTTTGCAATATTTATCATAAGCTGTGGTTTTCCCAAAACATTGTGGGAATACATATTAGCGTACAAGGGGGCCCATAAAAATTGCTTGTAATACGTATTTTCAGACTCCTTATCATAAACGAGAAGAATAAAGTATATACACGAGGGTCGCAAAATAATATTTAATTAAGGAAAAATATATAAACGCTATTGAAATCAGTCAAACCACAGTAGAGCGATACGAATGTAATTAACATCAAAACAGGTTTAACTAGAGATAGGTGTTTCGAATAATCCTCTTCCAACTCCTCTCCATTTCCTCTCGCAATCAAATTTGTCTTATACGTTCGCATTCCTGCACTGTTATTTGTCAGATTTAGATTTTTTTTCCCCATCAGTCTAATTTAAATTTGCGACCTTCATGTACATACATTTTGTTTTCATTTTCGATAAGAGTTCTAAAAATAAATTCTAAGGACGATTTTTATGGAATACACTGCATAGTTATCTTGATGATAAAAAAATATTCTCGATTCATTACCCAGCTTTATTCAGAAATAAACAATTTTGGCATTTCTTTGATAACGTCGTAAGATCTAATTTATACCTAAGATTACTAAGATTAATTTTTAAAACATTTGCCAGCTTACATCCTTTTTTTATTTCCTTTCCGCAATAACATTGTTAAAAGACTTTTTTTAAAATTTTTTAAACGAGAAACTAAATTTGTTCAAAGTGTTCCCAAAAATCAAATCCTTCATCAGAGAAAAGAATCTCATTAAAAACACAGTCCCAATCCTCTCAGTTGCTTAGAGACAATTTAACAATCTTGAGATATTTTGATGATAAAAAGTGAGTCATCTTTTCCATTTATAAACATCAATGAAATAAACCCAAGAAGATGATTAATTTATTTTCTCTCAAGAGCTCATTAAAAGCGTTACCTCTTCCGGGCAGAACAGTATTGAAATAAATTATATTTTGCTTCGTCTCGCTCCCTCATGAGAAGCCCTAATGATTAATTGATATTTGAATGAAAGAAACCGGAGTAGAAAAATTCAAGAAAAACAAACCTCTCCACAAAAGAACCTGGAGTCAAATAAAAGCTTCTATAAAAATATTGATGACAATAGCCAAATGAGGAAAGAAGAAAGAAAAAGAACAATAATAATAAAAAAAACTACAACCACCGCCAAAACTCTTAAAACTTCAATCCTTTTTCATTATAAGGAAGCCTTTAGAAATTGTAAAACTTGGCGGAGACGCTAATTCGCCAAATCATGCCTTGAGGTGAAGGAG